GTATAAATCCTTCCATTCCCCACCATCCAGTCAGAGCTGAAGAAGCTCCTTGGATGAGAAGCAAAACATCTTCAAGGAAAAACAAAGAGAGCCCAGTTGCCCCTTGAAAAAAAGCAACTTTTGGATAACTATGACCTGGAGGACTAAGAATCTCCACAGACCTTTAGATATAGATTATATTATCTCCCCTAGTATAATATACTAGCCACATGATGCTCTAAACACCAAGCCCATTTCTCTTACAAGGCAAGAACCGGGCATCTACTCCATTGTGGCTGGTTTCAATTCCAGGTAGTCCTTGGTTTACGACCGTTCATTTAATGATGGTTTGAATTTATGACAGCCTCGGACAAATAGGTTTCAGAATCACCTTCATAAAAGCAATCTCGAATGCCAGCAACAGAGCAGCTAAGGAAGACTGCAGGTAGTCCTCGCTTTACGACCACAGCTGAGCCCAGGATTTCCGTTGCTAAGTGAGACAGTTGTTCAAGTGAGCTTTGCCCCATTTTTGCAACCTTTCGGGCCACTGTTGTTAAGTGAATCACTGCCATTCTCATGTTAGTAACACGGTCGTTAAGTGAATCCGGCTTCCTCATTGACTTTGCTTGTCAGAAAGTCACAAAAGGGGATGGCGTGACTCCGGGATACTGTAACTGTCATAACTGCGAGTCATTGCCAAGCACCTGAATTCTGATCACACGACTGCGGGAGACCGGCTGTGACGGTCGTTAAGTGTGAAAAACAGCCGTAAGTCACTGTTCAAACAGTTACTAAAAGAACTGCTATAAATTGAGGACTACCTAAGTTGCCTTCCAACACTTTGGTATTTGGGGAATTTGCAAATTCTTTTGTTATATTCTCCCGTCAGGATTCCAAGGGATCCATTAACTTTCCAATTAGTGTCCCTTTTTAGCTCCAGCTCCAAAAGATTCTCAAAGATCCCTGTCATCCTTTTTTTCCTGAACTATTACCATCTGGCAGATGGTACAGGATAATAAAAAACAAGGATAAATAGGCTGAAAAAGAGCTTCTATCCCAGAGTAGTAACTCTACTGAATTTTACTGTATAGGTAAAGATAAAGATTCCCCTCGCACATACATGCTAGTCATTTCCGGCTCTAGGGGACCGTTCTCTTCTCCGTTATAAAGCCGAAGAAGAGCCAGCGCTGTCCGAAGAAGTCTCCGTGGTCATGTGGAAAAATGCCGAAGGGCGCACGGAAACGCTGTTCCCTTCTCACCAAAGGGGTCCCTATTTTCCTACTTGCATTTTTTTACACGCTTTCGAACTGCTGGGTTGGCAGAAGCTGGGACAAGTCACGGGAGCTCACTCCGTGACGCGGTGCCGGGGATTCAAACCGCCGAACTGCCGACCTTTCTGATCGACAAGCTCAGCATCTTAGCCACTGAGCCACCGCGTCCACCTATTCTACCGTATAATGCAATATTAATGCAGTATCCGGAGGGTTTTCCATTCAACTGTATAGAACGTGAAGGATGTGCATTTGTGTTTTACTTTTTACAGTCATAACGCACACCGAGGAGGGCATTTAATTTCGTTGTGCACGAGGTACAATGACAATAAAGCAAGCTAAATCAGAGGTGAGGAGCCCATCAACCTCACGCTTCCTCGTTTTGTGACAAGAAAACTCACCCAGAGACATAGCGTAAAATGGGCAAACCCTTTGGAGGAAGCTGCAGAGGCACGGGGGGACATTTATTTAACTTTAAATAAATTTTATTACATTTTCACAAAATACAAACCTCATTCACGTTTGTGACAAAGTTTTGGCATCGACAAATATGTGTGTGTGTGTGTGTTACAGGTCTTATTATATACATCATTGTTCTATACATCAACAAGTATCTACGTCTTATGTGATTTATTAAAGGTATCTATAATTATAGGTATCTATAATCTATCTTATATACCTTATTGTCTGTACGTCTACAGTAATATTCTCTTAAGATCTCTTGTTTTAATTACAGTAATCCATTCTTCCTATTTTTAATATCTATTCTCTAACCGTTCATACCATTTGTCCCCTATTATGTAGTATTTAGAGTTCTCTTTCATTTCTAACGTGAGCGTGTCTATTTCCACACATTCCAATATTTTGTGCAAAACTCGGTCTTCTGAGGGGAT